TATTATGATTTTGTGTGATGTGTATGTCAAATGGCTTTCGATATAGATATTTAAGATATTTTGTGTTTTGATATTGTTTTGTTGTGAAATTTAGTTTGCGTTGACTTTGATTTATGATATAAATGCATTTTTTAGGATGTGATTTACATTTTGTTTTTTTTTTGAGATTATAATAAGTAATATAATTCAGTTTGCATTGCCATTCATTGGTTATAATTTTGTATAACCAATGAATGATGTGATTTCTCTTTATACTTAATCAATAAACAACAACAAAATATGAAAGTGACTGGGCCTCTAACAAAAGTATTGCTGGATCTGTACCACCCCCAACGATCGGTTTTTTTATTTCACCTCTGACATATTTATTTATTTCCATTTCTTAACACTATACCAAAATATGAAGGTGGCAAAGACTCTAATAAAAATATCGCTGGATCTGTACCGCCCCCAACGNTCTAATAAAAATATTGCTGGATCTGTACCGCCCCCGACGGCCGGTTTTTTGATTTCACCTCGGCCATATATCTTTATTTCCATTTCTTAACACCATACCAAAATATGAAGGTGGCAGGGTCTCTAATAAAAATATTAAGTCAATATCTTCACCTACTACAAAATGGCAGCACATTTAATAATTACTTGAATACATCGATGTTTAACTTCATAAATTGACGAAATAAGCTGACTACACTTGAGAAAATGTTTGAAACGGTCGGTTTTTTCATTTCACCTATGCCATATTTCTTTATATCCAGTTGTGACCACTTTAACAAAATATGAAGGTGGCAGAGACTCTAATAAAAATATTGGTGGATTTGCACCGCCTCCGACGGCCGGTTTTTTGATTTCGTCACTGCTATATTTCTTCGTTTCCTTTTGTTAACACTTAAACAAAATATAAAGTTGGCAGAGTGTCTGATTAAAATGCTGTCAGAAATTAAATCAGACAGACAGACAGATAGACAGTATACCGCCCCCTGCTCGGATTTTTCGTTTAGTTTTCACTATTTTCTATAGTTTCCGTCATTTCAAATATTCATAATGCCTTCAAAATACATTTTTCACTGTTTTGGGAAAGAGAATAGAAAATACGAAATATTGCTGAACTTTATTGCCAAAGTAACCGAGGTTAAAAACAATTCAAAATTCCTCACGGTTTTCTAAGAATTGAATCTGAAAACATCATTATGGAGTCAATGGAAATTAATAGGAGTTTTGAGTTTTGAAAAATAAAGTGTCTGCCAACAAACGAAACAAAAACGATCAAGAATTTACCGTAGAAAATTCCCTTATGTTTAATAATATCTCATGGCAATCTAGTGGAAAGTTTTAGAGAACTATAAGATTTTTCGGAATTGAAAAAGAAAACCTTGAATATGTGCTTGAGAAACCGAACAAACGGTTATCTCCAGCAAAGCCTATAGAAAAAGTGAAGTTAAAAAACAATAAATAATTCTAAGAATAATTCATTCTCACTTAAACACGTCATTTTGATGACAAGTGTTTCACTATACAATAGGTCCTTTGGACGTTTTCAATAATGTAATGAGTGTTGAATTTTCAAGTGAGAATTTATTGTGTAATTTTCACTTAACTATTTACAAAACCGCGATATTCACTAGAGTACTAAATAGTCAATACACGTGTCACGGTTTTGTAAACCGTGAAAATCTCACAATGAAGTGTTATTTATATACTTACAATGGATTTTCAACAACTGTCGACCAATTCCATCGGCTCAAATAAGTGTGCATTACATATAATGCTGATTTTGTCGCTCTGACAAAGATATTATCAATATTCTACATTTTGTTCAAGTGACCAATTTATTCACGATTCAAGCATTTTTCGTTTTTTCTATATTCCCATATCAAAATGTTCAATTTATTCAAGTAACATTTTATTATGAGATTTTACTGGACAATTTACAAAATTACAATTTCGCCATATATTAGCTTCTCCAGGCGTGTTCATACTGACACTATGCAACAGCTTTCTCAGGCGTTTCCATACTGATAACACGAAGACGCTCGAGGAAGGTATTGATAGCGAAACACGTGTTGCGGTTTTGTAAGCTGTCCAATGAAAATCTTACCATGAAGAATGACTTCCGTACGTTATGGGTTTCCTTCAAATATTCGCCAATTTCATCACATACCTGTTCAATTTAGTTTCAAGAAGGACCATTTTTCTGGTTGACCACACATTTGTGTAAATAATATTTGGGAAAGAAAGGTTTTTGCTCTCTACTTCTCCATCTTACAAAGAAAGAAAGAAAGCAATCAGTTTCAAAAAATTAACTCAATACAAAGATGATAACGCAAAGAAGAAACTTTCAGACACAAACTTTTTTTAAGGACAAAACACAAGCACTACATGAAAATCCTTGAGGCGCTCTAAGAGCGATGCCTGTGCGAAAGTAGGGATTCACATTGGATTTGAATCGCTGGAGATTAAATCCATTTGGAAAAACGTTTTTAGGAAATTTGTTCCACATAAACGCAGTTCTTCAAATAAAAGTATTTCTGATATGTACCGCTCTTGGTGGAATCAAATGTGCCTAGTCACTTGAAAACAACCCGTGATAGTATCTACAAAAGAGAGACTAATCTCCAACCTTTCTTCGATGTTCCAGACTGTCAAGGTTGGAAGTGACGTTCTTGTCTCCAATCAAGCGGATAGCTTTTTTCTGGATGGGATCCAGCAGCTTCAGGGTATGCTTAGGGGCGGAGCTCCATACATGAGAACAATACTCCAAAGAAGGTCTGATCTGAGCTTTATAAAGCATCAAAAGTTGCTGGGGTGTGTACAGTTCCCTAATTCGGAACAGTGTACCAAGCTTTTGAGAAGCAGCCTTTGCAATTCCAGCGACATGATTGTCGATTGTGCCAAGACTATTGGTGTCCATTTTAATACCCAACAAACTTATCAAAGCAGAAAGCTAAATTGTCTGTCCTGACATTATAATATCCGGTTCGGGGAGATTTATCTTTTTGGAAAAAACCTGCCTGGGTTTTCGTAAATTTGAATTGAACCTGGTTACTTTCACCCCAATTCAAAATTACCTTCAGATCCTCATTAAGACATGCAACCTCCTGCTGCCGGTGAAGATGTGCATCCACAGCCGATGTCCTGGAATCCAAATGGAATGACGAGACAAGGGTGCTGTCATCAGCAAAGCTATATGTATACTAGATTCTTGGGTTTTTCCAATAAGTTGTTGATGTAAACTGGACGAAAAAGCTCTTTCGAAACAGCTGCCTTCATACAATCATTGAATTACATGAAATCATACAAAAAAGACTTTTCTCTATTCAGTTTGTATTCCAAACATTCATTATGGAATTTAATCAGATATCACTCACAGGATTGTTACAGTAAATGAAAGAGGTAAAATTTCATTTACATGGAACTTTGTCATCCCCACTGGTGGACATACGATGTTTCGGAATATGACATTCGTCTTATTTCCTCCTCAGCACCAATCTAGATAGCATTATAAGATGAAACACTTAATTCATTCATAAATTACCACTTCATGTCATAAATGAGTTGAATCTACTCATGTCATCATTGACTGTACGTAGTGACAACAAAAAATGGCGGGCTACGTTTTCTTGGCCATTGACGTTATCTTTGAGAAAGTAAAGATACTACATCGTAAATTTTCGACTGTTCAGAAAGACAATGAATCATAGTTCACCTATATAATTGTCCCATATCAACCACAATACACCAATAGATTGGTCCAAAATATCGAAAAATTAAAATGAAAAAGATTTTCAAAACTGCTCGCACACTTAAACAACCCGAAAGACAGATTGAGGGAAAAGGCAAAATCTGGGATTAACAAAATTACATTAAAAAGTATGTTGGTTAAACTAAACATACTGAAGTAACTCATTTCAAGGGATATATTTCATATATTTCATTTAGTGAGTGTAGAAGTCTAGTGTTGTTCAACATTCCACATAATAAATGAAAAATACTTCATGAGAACAGTTTTTAGACGCCTTCGAAAGTTTACAAATCGCAAAATTTTAAATTGGATCGCGACATAGATCCCATTCCAAACCGAAACCAACGAAATATCAGTTCGTAATTGACCTAATAATTAGGAATTAAGATAATTAACAAACTAATATAACTACTAATACTAGGAAAATATTTAATGATCTCTATTACCGAAGCTAGTGAGGCCAGATTGTACTCAAAAGACTCTAACTTCTTAGTTTCAGTATTCTGATGATATTCACTTTGTTAGCAAAATATTAATCGAAAGACAATGCTTTAGTTTTGGTGAGAAAAAAAAGTATATTCACAAAATTCATTTCGCACCAGAGGTTACAATTCTTCTCATCAAGCGTTCACTGGTGTCCAATATGAATAGTATTTTGTTATCTTTCTCAATCCATTGATTTCCATTTTTCTTATCATCATTACAAGAAACCTGCCTATTTTCTTACTTTGGATTGATTGGAGATATGACTATATCAAAGTAATTCTTGGCTGATATCATTTTTGTAGTACGACAGTCAGAAGAAGCACATTCTTTCAATAACTGGATGGATGTAACCGTTACTACGTGGTAGGAAATCATAATGAAGAAAAAGGAAATTAAACTTTCTATGTTTTTTACCACTTTTATTTGTAACGTTACTGCAGTTTCGTCCTATACGGCGTTTTTCAAACTTATACAACGAAACTGCAGTAACGTTAGTTACAAATAAAAGTGGTAAAAACATAGAAAGTTCTTTTCTTCATCAAGCACATTCTTTGTGATCGATCGAAAAATGTGACAGACTTTTAACTTCCTGAGAAAAATATTGGTCATCAGCGGGCCCGCAATATCGATGGATCAAAACATTCAATCAAAACAAATCGTAGAATCCCCCCGCGCCCGCCCCGCGCCTTCGACGCATCAGCTACTGATTCGTCGCGACGCTAGAGAGGCGAGGGAACGACGTAAACAAAGAGTCCGATTCGGTATAAAAACGCAGCCTCGCACAAAATAACAAACATTTGAATCGAAGCGATCGCAAAAGTGATACCAAAAGTGCACCTAACCTAACAATCGTTCGTTGGATATCAGTTTGTGTGAAAATTTCGGAAGAGAAATGCGCCCCCCTACGCAATACCCCCAGGAAATCGCCGAGGAGGCGGAGAGCGAGCCCGATCCCAGGCTGGGAGCTATGATGATCTCGGCAAGGTTAGCCGGAAGAGCCGTCATCAGGGTCGTGGGTCGGTGCAACGAAGCCAAGGAAAATGAGAATCTCGGTGAGTGGTGATCGAAGATGTGAAATCTATTGTGTGGTGAAATATCATGCAAGATATGTATACAGTGACCGCCTAAAAGTCTGCACTTTATGGATTTTTTTATTATTGACTTCTCCAGAAAACTCAAAACAAATTTGGCGCTTTATCTGTAACTAAAAATACACAAAAGTCTTATTTCATTTGTTCATCATATATGAACGACGCGATTTTTTGTGTGTTATTTCTGTTTATGAGTGCAAACGATATATATTTTTTTAATTTTTTTTACTTCTATTAATATCTATAAAATACACTTACTATTCAACTAGAACTCCTCAGATTTTGTTTATGTTCATGTATAAACTCGATAGCTATTTTCGAATTTATTGCAAAATTGCTATTTTTTGGTGAAAAAAATAAAGGTAACAAACCTATATGTAACTAATGAATCCTTCTGACAGTCTGATGACCTTCTGAACCTCTAATGTTTGCAAGTGACTCTATTTCATAACGCAGTCGAAAAAGATTCAAGCTGTAACTCATAAATTCTTCAAATATGATTGAAAACTCGTATTTGAACGATAAGTATGATACAAATAGATAAATTTACAAAATATTTCCTCTGTGAAACTAAATGTTTTCAGTGAAAATGTGTTACCACCATCAATAATTATGCAATACGTTGTATTCCAGCAATTAAATTATAACATAAATACAAATAAAATCTGAAGACTTATACACATTTGAATGAAGATAATATGGCTGCTATATCACAGGTGGAATTCACAAACAAATTTTCGAAATGTTGAAAGAGACAATTTTTGTATTTTTGACATTCCCCATAAACGATGAAACTTCTAATCTCTTGCCATTTTTATGTTCATTGTTACTTTAAATCGCTCGAAATCAGACCCAAATACCAAAACATTTGATTTACCGAGTAATGAACGATTTAATTAAAAGAAAAACTGGACCAGCGAGGAGAACTATAGAAAACATAAATGTTTTCACTGTAATTGTGGTACTCTAAGAAGGAAGATTACATTAATATCAACTTTTCTATAATTACTGTCTCATACAATAACTCCTTTGTTTGTAACTCTAACAATAGATCATCCACAAAATACAACAATACTGTCGTACAAATGAAAGGTTTTCAATACCCAGAATCAGAAGAAATTAAATTATTGATTTTATTACTTCATAAGTTTAACCTCATTATGCCTATTTTCAACTCGAAATTTCATTATGTGTACTATACAACATGGAGATGCACAAGATGGAGATGCACAATTCGTTTTACACAAGTTCAGTAAAAATCATGATGTCTGATGATATTTGATATCAGAGTAATTATGAATGTTAATAACATATGTCAGTCATAATGAGAAACCTTTATTTTTCCAAGAAAGCGAAATCTATTTTTAAAATTACTGTTTAAAAGTGCATAAGTGCATATTTTGATATTCTTCATCACAGTCATATTAATTATAAAATAATTCTTGACAACTCAATAGGCCTACTTTAATTTTTGAGGAAAAAGAGTGACTAAAATTTTCAATGTCATGACGCACTCATCATGAAATACTCTAGTTTCCTGCTTGTAGTGAAAGCTGCAGAGAAAAGGAAAGAGAGAATCTCAATCGATGGTCAATGTCGAAGCTTGACTTTACAGCGGGACGCTGCGTTGCGAACCTAGTTTATCTTTGATATTTTTGGTTTGAGTTTTCTGTCGTTCCTACGGATAACGTCTAATATTAAATTAACTCAAATATATCACCCAATTTTTAACACTTCAAATACACCGGGTGACAAAGAAATCATTGTTGTTACTGGTATACAAAATTTGAAATTCGGAACGAAGAAGAACGGAGAAGATATTTCTGAAAAAACAATCGAAAACTTATTTCGATTAAAGGAAAAACCCAAGTCAACAATTTTAAATAAAAACCTGTAAATTTTTGCTAGGATATAAAATTATCTTTTCAACGATATAAGTGATCAAAGTAGCGTTGTCGGAGCCATTTTTTCTAAATTCAACATGACGACACTATGATTGTCAAACAACTTTATGTAGTCAGAAACAATAGACTGACTATGTTTGCTGAGTTTTTGAATAAATAAGGAATTTAAATTTGTTACGAATGCACATACTTTTATTTTTTTGAATACCATTTGTCACTCGTTCATCTCACTCCAGATCACTAAGCCTAGGGATTAAGTGGGGAATGGGAAAAAATACCAGCGTGGTCCAAATGGAACTGGCAGGTACCTCAATCGCCACAAAAGAAATAACCAGGAAAGGAATTTGTGGCAAAAACATAACAATCTGCACTGACAGCAGACAAGCCCTATTAGTCTTGAACAGACGTCTTACCTCAGGGCTAGTACTAGAGTGCCACCAAGATTTAGCCAAAGCCTCAGTAGATAATAACATTATCCTGAGGTGGGTTAAAGGACACGACAGGAGTAAAGATAATCGCATTTACCACTCTTTAGCCAAGGAAGCGGCTGGACTAAGAATTTAAGGACCCAGTGGAAACTATGGCCTGATGACTTCGACAATTGCGGAACTAGCCAAACGTCACACAATCCCTAAAGAGATGGGATGAAATCAAAGGATGCAATCTTTCCAGGATCACCCTGGATCCAGGATCACCTACGAAGCTGGCGCTGAAGAAATATCTGGTGATGACCAGGAAAAATCTACAGTAGGGTTTCTGACTGGCCACTGTCAACTAAGGAAACACCTCCACAATATGGGGCTGTGCAAGGTGTGTGAACAGGAACATGAAACTGTCAGGCATGTCCTATGCGAATGTCCGTAGTTATCGTCAATAAGAGAGTGTGTGTTCGGCGAGTCTTGGCCTACACCTGCCGATATAAAGGAGATGTCTCCCAGAGACCTGTCCACCTTCCTGGAAAGGACAGGATGGAAGATGACCTAGGAGGAAAACTCTTTGGAAGGATGTACAATGGGTCACATGTGGCCTAAGTGCTGCGGGCCTACACTTCCTCCCCCTAGTCTACAGATACAGAGTGGTACTCGTTTATCTCGAGAATCTTAATGACAAGTGGTATTTTTTAAACTTCAACATTATACTATAGAAAATGTCAAAGATACTATGCGGCTCATTTTCCTGTGCCAGTGACAATTAAAGACCACGTTTGCAATGATTTTGTTGTCATCCGGTATATTATAAGAACCTCAACATATCCAATATGTGGGTATATCAATCAAGTATATAAGTGTATCTCTCATTCGTACCATTCAGTGCTAGTATTAAATTCACTAAATGTGAGTTTAGTACAGTCACGTAGTCATTGTAAAAAAAAGATAGTAATGATGTAGATAATGTACTAAAAGATTAAAAATATTTTTTCCGAATTTTTTTTACATTATTTATATCATTTTCAATAAAACCGTTCAAATAATTTTTTTTCTACTTATTTTATTTTCAAGTTTTCAGTTTCTAATTTTTTCACTCAATTCCTCCCATTTTGTTTTGTACATTTAGTACATCAGTGTTAAGCCATGTAATTAGATAACCATATTGAGGTAGTTGTGAAAAAATTATAATTCGCCATTTTGTAGCTGCGACATCTTGAATTAACAATGATAAGGAATTTATTAAATGGTATTGTCATCAAAACTAAATGTGTGTACCAAATATCAGATCAATCTAGCAGCAGGAAGAGGTTCAAACTTCAATTACTAAATTTGAACCAAACAAACAGGGCAAGCTGAATGAAACCGTTTGAAAATAAATAATTGATCATGGCATTTTTTTGACAGACAAGATCGCCATCAAATAGGGTTTTTCAGGAGGACAGTCGTAGATTCGTGTTGAATTACAACCCAGGCTAATCCTCCCTTCCGAAATTTCTTCATGAAAGAATCATGGGAGATATTCTGTGAATGATGGAAAAGTATCTCTTGATGGTTCGGAAATTTATCATTGCCCATTTACGTGCATCCATGGCTCAGCCTAGCACCACTGATGATAGATATGACATTTTGAAACATCGTTGTCTAGTGTTGGACCAAAATACTGTGTTTTTATGCTTTGGTTTCACAAAGTTGCCATGAAGTTGCAGAGAAAAATAGAGGTTGATTTTTCATTGGGAAGTCATACCGATACAACATCCCGCCGTGTGAATCCCTGTGAATTTCTGTTTACTTAAGGGAGATGTCCTTGTTCACTTATTCCATTAACGTGTTTGAGAAAATTGGAAGAGAAGACAACAAGAAAGAGTTATTTATTTACTTATTAGTATTATAATACTATAATGACTAAAAAATTATCAGATACACGATCAGGAATGAACTGCAACGAGACGAGAAGGATATCCTCATTTTAATTGACATGTTCACTCTCACAACACCTCGTACATCAATCGGATCAGTTTTTGCAAAGTTGAAGGAGTTTAAATTACCTTATTCGACAATTTGTTCTAATTTCCATTTGTACGATCTCACGATCTTCAAATGCGAATCATCAAATTTGGACATAAATCTTCTTCCAGTAAAACATGTATAGAATTCGCTATAAAGATATGAAAATATATTGTTTCTACCGGTCAACCTCAGGATTTCCATAAAAGGTAGCCAAAGGCTATACGCAAGTGTGCGACTATCAAGAACAAAATTACTATTTCATACTATTTAAGGCGAAAGCAGGAAAACGTCGCATCAAGATCGCTTATTCTATTAGTTTCGAAGATATTTCGAATTATTAACAGAGCTACTTCTGGTCTTCAGTAGCGTAGAAAAATAGCAACTTGCGAATAAAATATTGAATATTGAATGTGCGGTCAAGTATAAATTTCCTTTGTCAGCATAGACATATAAAGAGAATGATCAACAGGTGACTCACGAATAATTTGAAGAAAAATACATGTTGCCCTTTCATGCAAACTACTGGCAAGTTATTTAGAAAATATCGTGGGGAAGCGAAGTTTAACCAAACTGCTTTTTGGCAAAAATAGGTTCAATAATTACCGATTTATGAAACAATGTA